ATATGGACTTCGGCTTACGAAACGTTTTACGAAAACTCGATTGGAGTTGTCCGTGGTCTCTCACGAAAACAAGTGATCTCACGTGTGGGAAAGTCAAAATCGGGAACAAATATTTTTACCTTGTTGGAGAGTCCTGAAAGAGTAAAAGTATTCGGTACCAACATGGGTTTCCTTCAATTTCACTACATTTGGCACGATGACATTAGAGCAAAGCAAAATAAGTCTGGCATTGAGCGATTGCTCGGTTGGGCGCATCCCGAACTTCGAAATCTCCTTCGAATTGATGGTGCCCATTTATTTGTCGATGGCACGTTCCGGTGCACACCCAAAGGATATCAACAGTTGTGACCCTCATGATGTATGATTAGTATACGGAGCTACAACCTGTATTTTTTACGCTGGCAACAAATAAAACGGAAAACTGTACAATAAAATGTTCAAGTGCATCGAGTTTTCGTTGAAAAAAAAATGAATCCAGAACGTGGTTTGTGACTTTGAAGCAGCCTCGATTTTTGCAATACGTGATAATTTTCCGTCAACACGCATTGTTGGCTGCTTGTTCCATTTCAAGCAGGCGTGTAGCAGGAAACTTAAGGAGTACAGTATGCCGAAAGAAGAATCTGCAATTGCGATGTCTTTTGGAGTATTTGACATGCTCACCGTAATTGACCCAGACAAGATTTCGGTACAGGGGGTTGCGTGGGTAAAACGCGAGATTAAAAAGCTTTGCGATCGGAAAAGTCTTACGTATTCTCGAGAAAAGTGGAAAACGTTTTGGGCATACTTTGCCAAAACATGGTTAGAAACCTACCCTCCCGATCTTTGGAATATATATGGCGTTCAGCGTCAAATCGTGAATCGGACTAACAATCCTCTAGAGAGGTTTCACCGGGAGCTGAATGCGAGGATAAAGACTCATCCGTCACTTAATAATTTCGTCCGCGTCATTGAACAATTTGCAAGGGAGTATGCGGTACTGCGCAAAAGTATTATATCTGGTGATGCTACCGCTCCTGTGCGACCTCCAATGCGCTTCCCAAAAGCGGCGACTTTGCCCAACGTCAGAAATATCGAGGAATCACCCAGCGAGGATGAGGACGATGCATCTCTCGGTAGTGATGACAGCGACGCGGCCCCCAACTTGTCTGACGAAGATCTCGCTATTGTATACGACAACTCATTTGATTACGAGGAAGAAGAAAAAGCAGACGGATCTTAAATAAAATGTATTAGATATGATTTTACAGCATCTAATGACATGTCGATTTGAGCACGGGTTGTCACACGCTACAATATATAGCGATCGAACCGATACGTAGAATCATTATGCCCCGTTGATAAAGATCTACGATGTCGGGTGACATAATTTATACTTTTCCTTGATAGTATTAGGCACATACTTGTTATCAAGATGGTAGTCGAACCGCCAGCGACGTCTGCCGGCAGAAATTATACAGGCACTCAACAAACTAGTGAAAGCACCAACGATACTAATCTCTACCGGCACAGTTATATTTGCTATCAGCATACTTACCGGGTTAGTTGCACTTATCCAAACAGTAAATAATTTTACAATACAAATATCTGGTGGTTGCGTGGTACTATTAGATCTCAATTGCATAAGTCTGAGGAGGGCCTGCACTAACGGAGGTAGCAGTCGTAGAACAGACATGAACACCAAGTGTTATCCATCGCCGAGGTCAAGTTTGATTAGACCACGTGACCAAACGATTATTCTTGGGCGGGACCAAAATCGTCAGAGACCAAGGAGGATGATTACCCTTTGGAGTCTGCTGTTTCAGCTCGTAATACGAAGCTTAAACCAGGACGCTACGAGGGACTGGTGAAAATGGTCGATCTGGCATCACAAGATACATTGTTTTCTGCCTGTGAGTGGGTGAGATCATTGGAGTCTTGTCATTGTCGAGAATGCTCTCCGAGAGGGCCCAACTAGAATGTACCATGTGAACTCTTCAAAGAATGCGCACACTTGGCTCACGTTGGGCACTAAGTTCTCCACATTCAATACATTTGCCGCAGCTGTATCAGTACCGAGTAGGACTTTCTGCAACGGGGTTATCGCTTTAACCCCTAGGAAGACTTCCGCCGGTGCATGGTTGGCAAGTGACGTTACTGGGCTTTGATTCAGGTTTGCTTAAATCAATGGTAGAAGCGCAGCCCAATTCTCTTGTTCAACCTTGAGCTCCAAAAGCATGACTCGCAAAACCTGCACGATATCTCGGTTCAGTCGCTCGACACTCCCATTAGCCCACGGGCAATAGGCGAGCGTAAAGCTCTGCTTCATTTGAGTCTTGTGACAAAGCTCCTCTAGAAGCTGGTTTTTGAAGTGCGTGGCCGTGTCGCTTATTAGCAGCTCCGACGTTCCGTATCTGCTGCTCCAGGTGAGAATCGATGTGGCAGCTGTTGCTGCATTTGCGCTAGTACACTCGATCAGCTCACAGAAGTGCGAGAAATCATCCTTCATTACTAATATGTAGTATTTTTTGCCATTGTACTCTCCAATGTACAGGTAATCCATGTGCAGTCCTTCGTTACGTTCTTTAGAGCGATACGTCTCGCCCCACGGTCTTGGTACAATGCTACCACCCTTCACATGACAGCACAGTAGATAGCGACTGCAAAACGCACGAGCCTTTTGCTCTAGTTTGTCAATGTGGAAGTGATCTTTGAGATGATTCACCATTACCTTTACCCCCCCCCCGATGGTCCATTGTACCACAGTGGGCGATCACCGTTAATCGCACTAAGAACACTTTAGCATCCGCCGGAATCCACACGTGGTTGCTCGTCTTTCCAGACTCCGTCATGTTTACTGAGATTCGTTGGACGGGTGCACTCAGTTGCAGTCTAAGCGTTTTAGATGTCCACAATGGTAGGCCACTCAAAATTCGTGCGTAGAGGACGTAATTCAACTAGTTGCTGCTCTCCTTCTAACTGCCAGCGCTTGATAGTAGTAGTTTCAGCTGGTGATGTCGAACAAGCCCACCGTGAAGCCATGTCGGCCCACACGTTGTCGGTACCGCTGATATATTTAATGCTGTACTGTAGTTCATTCAGTTTCAGACTCCAGCGTTGTAGTTTCCCCCTAACATGCTTCTTAATCTCATCACCGGGCGCGAAAATAGAAATCAAATTTCGATGGTCCGAGTTCAAGCGGAAACCCTTGGAGCGTATCAGCAGATAGTCTAAGTCCGTATCAGCCTTAATAATTAGAAATGCCTCCTTTTCCGAGACGATCCAGTGCTGTGAAGACCCTTTGAAAGTACCGCTCATACAGCGCACTAGCTGATGATGCTGTTCCGCGATGTTAATCGACGGATCCCAATCCGTAACGATCGTTAGGGTGATGCTCCATCCAGAATCACTTGCATCGGTCATCAAAATGAGCTCGTCGTCGTCATCAGGTGTTACCAGCGTCGCTGCGTTCATGAGCAATTGTTTGACTAGCTGGAAACTATCCCGCTCAGTTTCAGAGAGGTCAATGACTAGTCGTGCAGCAACGTGTTTGGTCCTTTTTGCGCCGGCTAAGGCAGCTTGTAACCATTCCTGCAGAGGTGCAGATACCCGAGCAAAATCGACGAGAGAATTACGCATCCACCCAGCCGCACACAAGAACTGTTGTAGCTCGCCTGCCGTGTGTGGCTCAGGAAGATCGACCAAAGTTTGGATTCTATCTGGATCATAGGCAACTCCGTCTACCTTAATAATTCGCCCACACCATTTTGCTTCGGTTGTGTACAAGCCGATTTTATTCAGCCCGAGCAATAGTCCAGATTCCTCCAAAGTGCTGTATACACGGTCCAGTACCGACAAAAATTCATCAATAGTGGACGCGTAGACGAGAACATCATATATCCAGGCCAACACATTCTCGTATAGTAGTCCTGCTTTCCGCATTTATCTTCTCAATTGATTGCTGAAAGTGGATCGAAGAATCGACGCCACCTTGCTGAAGGCGGGTAGGCGTGAAGACGTCATCCTCCGTCATATAGGACTGTGACTCTTGGCTGGACGACGCTAACGCCATTTGCCAAAAGCTCTTCAAGAAATCCACATTTTTCTTGTGCTTCTTCTGCTTTGTATGGTGAAGACGTGTGGCTAAATTGGGCAATCCACCCGCCAAAGGCACAACTTGTGCATTGACACGCCGGAAATCAACAGCCTGCCTTAGTCCACCTTGTTTTCCCGGTTTCTTCACAGGCCGTGCAGGACTGGCCCATCTACTAGCCTCGTTACGGTACACCCACCCAAGAGAAACAAGAGATTCATTAAATGACCTCATCCATTCTCGCTCTGCTGGTGCATACGTTCGAGGTTTGCATCGTATAGACACAGCTCCGTCCTTGAACTGAATGTCAAACGGCTCAATCTTCGAAGGCGGGTCATTCCCGATTTCCAGGCGCCACATATCATACCGTGTTGCCACATCAAAGAGATCGCGCTTGCGGTCAACAGGAAATCCATTCGTGACAGCTTCATTAATTAGTTCACAGAGCCGTCCCATAATTCTACCTTTGTCAGGTGGATTGAAGCTCACCGGAGTTTCTGACTCGAATGGATCAAAATCAACGATCTCCTTATTGGCTAATGCCGAGAATTGTCCTTCAACATCAATTCCAAGCGCCTCAAGCGTCAACCTTCCTAGCAGGAACTCGTCCTCTTCTGTTTCCGAAATGATACAGGTCACTTGGCGCATTCGGACCCTCCCTGCTGGAGTAATTAACTCCAAATCCAGCTGAATTGATTCTTTGCAGGTTATAATAGCTCCACCTACAGCCTTGCCATCTATCGGCTTCATGAGACATTCCACCTTTACATCCGGGTATAATAGAAGAGCTTCCTTCACTACTCGGCAAGGAATTACATTGTATTTGCTTCCATTGTCCGGAAAATAGGGCATCGTCACCACCCCATTGAATGCAACATTCTTCGGAGCGAGATCTTCGTCATCTTCCAACACACGCTTCATTTTAAACGCTTTAGATCCCTTGCGCTGGTTCATGAACGCTTGACGAGCTGTCTTCTTCTGTTTCTCACTGGCAGAAGGACAATCGTTCACCCAATGGGCACCCTTGCAGTGTAAACAGCCTTGGGCAGGTGCAGGATTGCGTTTCTTGAACCCAGGCCGATCATCACTCGACGATTGTGTTGCCTCACCCTTTTGGGATTTGCCATTGCTTTGTTCTCCATTATTCTTGCGCGGAGAAGCTTTTCCAACTCGAGGTGAGGTTTTATTTCGGCTGGACTGATAGAGATCAAACGATTGTTGATTTTTCTATGCCTCCGCTTTAATCACACCAAACAGGCGAGAGACATTGGTTTTCGCTGTGGGGTCAATATCTTGATAGAGCAGAACCTGTTCCTTCAAACTCTCAGGACTCAAGCTATCAGTCAACAGCTTGCAGTTCAACTTGATGTTACCATCTGAAGCAGCGTTCAATCCGTTCTCCTCAACCAATTCATCAAATCTGTCGAAATAGTTCAATACGCGAGCCTTGACATCCTTCTGCCTCAAGTTCATCTTTAATTGCTGGCTCATTATCACAAGGACATTTGGAAGCTGATCGTTTATCATACTGGAAAGGATTTTCGAGATAGCATCGACTAACTTCTCGTTCGTCATCTCGTCGACTTGTATCTTCAACTCCAGTTCACAGAATATCTTCAACAAACGCCGATTAATCGTGTTGATTGCTGGTATCATTACCGTCGCTAACGGCTCACCTGACTCTTGGCATCGCGAGATGACAGCAGCCTCATACAGTTCTCTCTGTTTCCTCCACTTGACCAGAGCTTCTTGCGAGAAGCATACGATCGGAGGTGGCTCCATCGCTGTCCATAGCTTTGTTGCAGGTGCAGTCGCGTCGCCATCTTCGCCGGCGGTATTTGCGCGACTTCGGTTTTGCGGGGGCCGGCTCATTGGCCAGTTGTGCTTGGGACGTAGTCCACAGCTAAAGTTAACTTTGTAGTGTCTTGCGACCCTAAATGCTTGCTAGTTGAGAACCCACTCGTATACTTGGAGGTGAAAAGAATTCTGTTATTAAATGCAGTGCTACGGCGGCTGCCGTGTTGGTTTCTGTTAGTTTCGCTATGCTCAATGCCTCCTTGACTATGTAGTATACAATTCTTGAGAGCTCGACATGCTTTTATGCTTCTCGCCTGTCGTCGGTAACCCCTCTGTGATCTGCAACCGCTATGCGAAGTGTCTGCTGAGAGCTGGTTCCATCGAGGAAACCACTACAAGGGCCCAACTAGAATGTACCATGTGAACACTTCGAATAATGCGCACACTTCTCCTTACGTTCTCGACGTCAACAAGAAACTCTAAGAAAAGGAGCAAGAAGAGCAAAACACCGGCAATTCACTGTCGCCATCTATCGGGGAGTCTTCCATCTACAATACCACACCAAGTGAATACCGTTGATTGCGGTATCTACTAAATGCACTTCATGGATAGAGGCGAATGGCTAAAAAGAAACCGCAATCTATTGCCGATGATATCGGACGTTGGACCACAGAAAGGTTTAGCGCCAGCAAAGCGGATTAACATCATATATCCCTGCACAAACGTATCTGGTAAGACTCAGAAACCAACACAATTAACATTGCCTAACTTGAAACAACAAAACAATACCTGTGTTTATTTTTAATTAGCTAAATTACCGTGCAAAGAGCGTATTATAGCTGAACATCACTTTAACCCCACCCAGCGACGCCTAGACTACTGTTGAGCGTTGATGCGAGTTACCGGGTCAAACGCAGACTACATCGTGGTTATGAGGAGATAGACGGTTATTATGTGCACGAGCGATACCAATCGCCAACATAGGCTGTTGTAGCATCCACGCTGCGGCCATAGTACACCTCATGTTGAACCCAGGGAGGAAATGGCTCGTAGTACTTGGAAAGTAGTGCGCCTTACTTCTCTCCTTTTAAAACCTCTGCCTGATAGCTCGAAGTCGTTAAACGGCATCTCCACTTTTAAAGATACATCACAGAAAAGTAGCACGAGCTACAGGCGGCTAGTAGAGACTTGCGTTAGCATTACGTGCGATCGCCGAGTCGACAGAGCCTTCTTATGGCGTCCAATCTTACACTGTCAGGTCATAACAGTACTCTTAGTTGTCGTCGTTTGATTGGCCAAAATGGCATCGCCCATAGAATCAATTATTAATAGCACAGCTACGATTAGCAATAAGGCTGCTTGTAAATACCTTTGTCGCCCTTGTTCGAACAAGATAATGTCTGCTCTGCCAGTGGCGGATAATTACGTATTTCAGCAACTGCCACTTTTAAAACGGCTTTGACAAGGCATTTTCTCACAATAGGAATAAATATGTTTTAGCTCTAACTGCAATTTCAGGATAAATTGAAAAGTGGTTCACATGCTAATAAAATCTCTTTGAATTGCAAAAACAAAAATCCAAAGATTATTCAGTATCAGTACCGGTATGGGCGGTACAAGTACTTTAGTTTTTTGTCTAACTAACGTTAACAAATTAACAACTACTAACTTACGTTAGCATATTAACATCGACCAAATCTTCAGAATGCTGGAGTATTCGGTGCGCTGTCACTTGACGTGTGATGAACGCAGCGAATCTCTCGATGCCGAGGGAAGATTGCGGCATCATAAAGTGTGGAAACAGTGTGAACACATGCGGCATGTGCTCGTTCATGTCCAATTCGACTTGAACACCATCCGATCTGGCGTTCTGGGCCAAGAGCATTGACTGTTGGTGTAGAATGTCGAATTCTGCTGCCTGGATGAATAAGGGCGGCAATCCACGCAGATCTGTCTGCAGCATGGCACCTTCACACCACGAAGCCCGTGGGGTTTCCTGGACGCAGAAGTCTCGAATCGCGTCCAGCATGGACTTGGAGATGAAGCAGTGATCGGATACAGCCACGTCGGCCGACAGGTCTGCATACGGACATTTGCATAGCGCCGCTAGAGGCATCTCTCGTCGAGCTTGACGAAGTCTCAGCAGAGTGGCAAGAACCAAGCCGCCACCGGCGCTGTCACCAGCTAGGATGATGTTCTCTGGTGAGATCTTCTCGTGGTTGACGAGGTAGTCGAACATGACCATGGCGTCATCCAGAGGTGTGGGGAAACAGACCTCGGGTAGTTTACGGTAGTTGGCCAGCAAGATCTGGACGTTCATTGAAGGGTCGGTGCCACCCCAAGCAGCTGGAAGTTGGCTTCGCACCTGAGTTAGTAAGCGACTGGCGAACTCCACGAAGAAACGAGGACTGAAGAGGGCGTAGCCTCCTCCGTGGTAGTATAGCACTACGATCCGTCTCTCATCCTCGCTCCCACCTTTAGAACGTAGCCACAAGTGCTCGAGTCCGTTGTATCGGATGCTCTCGAGTGTGTGGCCGTGACGCCAACAGGCCAAAGCTCCTAGTAGCCGTCCGATGAGTTCGAAGTTGCGGCGGAACGCCAATGCGTTAGATAACTTCAGGATGTGGCTGCCGTTGCGTTGACCCGCGGCGAACGCGATGGCCTGGAACCACTCGTACCAAAGCGTCCACTCTGGGAACTTGGGGTGTAGCCCCCGCTTGATGAACTGCACGACGGCTGCATTGGCCGCTGCACCGACATGAGCTGTCAAGGTGCAGACGTTCCCGAACGATAGACAGAAGGGACGAAGTAGTTCATGAACGCTGAGGAGCAGCACGAGTTTGAACAGGATGAAGACGTGGCTGAGTCCGAGCCATTGCAAGTGAGTCGCATTGATCCATAACGAGATGGAAGCGACAGTGAGGAAGACGGGGAGAGTGTATGCGGCTCCGTAGCCCGATGCCCGACCGCTAGTAAATTCTTGAACGTGCTTGCGGACTTTCTTCATTGTCAGAGTTGGGTTCAATTAAGTCTTTAGCACAATGAAGCGAACCAAAGAGTGAACAGAAGTAGAACGGTTAGCGATCGCACTGCGATTCGCAGCGCTGAAGGGACATGTTATCGTTTCCCTCTGATGGTGAGGCCAGCACGTCGAAGTGGCAAAGCGACGCCTCATCCTGAATCCGCTTCTTTTAGAGCAACGAGGACCGTTCGGTGGGGCTCCGATAAGTTGCTCCATGCAGAGTTCGATAACTTTCCAGCGACGAGTGGGAGGATAGGACAGCTGCGACCATAGTTGACTGCTCCAAGTTGAGTTGCGCTTACAGTAGCCGGTCGATTCTGTCGTCGTGCTTTATTTGTATGTAGCTTGGTTTCTACAAAAGCGCGGCAGGTTCTAGATTATGAGCTTCAGCTACGAAGCAGACATCAGTGGGAGGCGGATGGAGAGGACGGCAAGTCGCTGTTTGTACGACGTAGGACACGAAAGCGCAATACGCATAAGGTCGTTTTTACTTCGCAATTGTTCAGATTACTGTTGCCCAAACAGTCGCGAGAGATCCGAGATCCGAGATCCACGTGAATCTTCCACCTGCGTCTGGAGTGAGTCACTGGCTTCTCGTAGCTTTTGTAAGAAGCTGTTGTTGCCGATAACAGCAAGCGATCGAGAAGGCGTGTGCTGATTTAGGCATTTTAATGGTTGCTGTGAGTCTGGTCAGACCAAGTGACGCGCTTAGGCAGGCAGCGAGGTCAATGACCAAGCCTTCTCATTAACTTGGGAATATCTTTCATTACGCACTGCATAAGGTGCCTGTTGAGAGCTCGAAAGGTGTTGATGGGCGAATGGCCAATTTGAAATGGTAAACCCATGTATAATAATACATGTATCTTCAAAACGAGGATGTACTGTAAGCACAGCCTTATAGCTTTTGGCATTTGACTTCCTAGCCCAACGGTTGTGCGAAGCAAGTAATCTGGGCGAAAGTCGAGGGCAAAATCTGCTATCGTCCATAAGCTTAGGGGGATTCAGGGTCTGGTTTCGATAAAGACCCTGGATGACGTTTGCATTTACCCATTTCCAGAAGGTAAGAGAGTCGGGTTGACCATTTCACAACTTTCGACTTCTATAGCGTATGCCGTTTCCCCTGACAAGCATATTAACACTCCTCGTGCCGTGGTTGTCTGTTGCAGCAGCCACTTCTTCGTGGACTCGAACTTCGGAACTTCCAGCGGTCACTGGGTCTACAACTTCAGCAAGGCGCAATTCTGTATAAACATGGGAATCTTTGACAACAAGGTGTCGTCCGCACACTTGCCGCAGACCGGCAACTTCGCTGATAACCAAGCACTCATCGCCTTCTACTCGGACAGGAACTGCACTGGGATCGTCCGCACGTGGCCAACGGTCGAGAGTAACTTCCCTACGAATTTCGCGCTCAACGGAATCGACAAGCAAATCTCGTCCTTCATGGTCTGGCAGACAAGCAACAAGGTCGAGGAAGTTGCTCCCGACTTGGGTAGTTAAAACCATCATAAGCTCGGAACCTGTCAGCATCAATACCGTAGCCATCTTGAAAAAACAGCATTTAGCTCCACTCGTTGATTCTCAAAACATATTCCCCAAAAATACAGATGGATACACCTAGAAATCGCAGCCTTTCAAGATCGTGACAGCGAGGTCTCACGTCCACACTTCAAACGTCCGCACGGATCCGACGAGTAAGACCTCTGCTCAAATGCCCGACTATCCAACGTTCTTCAGGGCACGCACTTGTCTGCAGCAATGGTTAAGCTCTCAATTGTATCATCCACGATGCAATCGTTGCTCGCCCCGCTACTCCGTGTTTGGACAGACCCCGAGCGTCGTCGGAAGTTCTTGCGTTGGCTTTTCGGTGGCACCAGTGGAGCGATCGCTCTCCTGTTGATCCTGGAGGCGACGCGGGGCTTCTGTCGCACACCGTTGGAGACGGCTCAGCTATTGGCGGGCATTTCCTGGACGCTCTGCAAGATCACGGTACAGTTTGTCGCGCGGGGTTTCAAGCCAAAGTTCGCCAAGTGGACGTTGCGCTACGAGCTTCTACACGGACTCATGCGCACTGCCGCAACCATGTTTGGCGAGCGTATTGTTGACTTGCAACACGCGCGAGTCATTCGGCATCATACTGGTATGTTCGGGACAGTCCTTGGCTCGTTCGCACGCTGGCAAAACGAGATGAGGCTCGAAAGCGTGCGACTCAATGGACTGGAGCACATCTGGCTAAAGTCATCTACATGTACCACAGAGACCAAAAGTGAGAGGAAAAGACTGGTGGTGCTCTTCTTCCATGGAGGAGGCTACGCTGTGTTAAGTCCGAGGATGTATATCTCGTTCTGCAGCGCAGTAGCAGGCGCCATCAGACAGCAGTTGGCGTCGGATGACGTGGACGTTGATGTGTTCCTCGCAAACTACCGTAAACTACCGGAACACAAGTTCCCCGTGCCGGCAGAAGATGCTGTAGCCATGTACGAGTACTTGTTACAGCACGAGAAACTGGAGCCGTCGCAGATAATACTGGCGGGCGATAGTGCTGGAGGAGGCTTAGTCATGTCAACTCTACTACGAGTTCGCGATGGACTGTCGAGTTGGAAGTCGAAGCTGCCTTTACCACTAGCAGCAATTGTCATGTGCCCTCTGGCTGATCTCACGTGGGATGAGGATGAAATCGCAGGGCAACACTGCGTCCTCCCACTCAACATGACGGCTGCAAGTGTGCTGACATACCATCCGACACGCGACGACCCGAGTACGTGGGCGGATGCTTCACCGGTGCATTGCAACCTGCAAGGCCTCCCTCCCGTGTTCCTTCAATCCGCCACGCTGGATCGACTGTTTCAACATTCCGTGCGGCTTGCGGCGAAAGCCAAAGCTGACGGTCTTGTCAATTGGGAGGTGGATATTCACGAAGGTGTGCCGCACGTTTTCATGGTCATCCCAGCTTACGTGTTGCCGTACGCTCGCGTCGGGGTTGGGCGGATGGCAGCATTTGCAGCCAAACAGTTTAGAAACGGTATTGCAGTGGACCACAAGGGTGTCATCTGTAACGGGAAAGCTCCAATCGAAATTGCTGTCGACGAGAACACTCTCTCAGCAGCAGCCTAGACAGCGCGCAATTCTGTTTAGACCGATGGTGTAACACGTTCAAGGCAATTCAACCCACAATATTACTCTTTGCTCGGATTTTTTAGAGGTAATGCGTCTTTAGATCTTCGATAACCAACACAAAGCGTAATACATGTAGCAACGTGCTGCTAAGACGTTGACAGCTAATTCCGAAGCCCCACTGTACGGCGGTGCTGTGGGAGCAAATGGACGTCTTTGTTGACGACGGACGGCGAGTTCTGGAGATTATAGGCTTGACTCAAGCCCAAACGCTCTCCACCTCTTTCAATGAGAGGCTCTCATCGAACGTCTGGTTGCTTCAAATCCTGCAGGAGAAAATGAATGAGCAAGCGTCTTTGCTCGGCGCTTCAAATTTAGAGCTTTTACACGTAATAAATATCACCATTTCTTCCTCTCATTGGTTGAAAAACGAATTAACAACATGGCGATTTTCTGAAACTTCCCTTTAATTATTGATGATTCTCCTTTTGGGTTTTGCTTAAATCAATTTCTTGTGATCTCAAAAAGAAAAGCATAAAAAGCTAAACTTATTTTTTAAATGTTATACTTAGCAGTCAAAGCACCATCGCATTTTATGAATTGTGCGTGCACAAATTTTCTGCTTGGAGAACCAGCCGTTTTCACTCTGCGTTTTGCTCCAAGTTCCACACAGTTGCCTCTTCTTATCGCGAAATGCTCGCCCGCACGTCTGCTCTGCGCCGCGTGGCCTCGACTGCCACCAGTGCTGTTCGCAACGCCAGCACGATCCAATCCATCCACGCGCGCGAGATCATCGACAGCCGCGGCAACCCCACGGTCGAGGTGGATCTGACGCTGTCCGGCAGCACCGAGATCTTCCGCGCCTCAGTTCCTTCGGGAGCCTCCACGGGTATCCATGAGGCTGTGGAGCTGCGCGACGGTGGCAAGCGATACGCCGGCAAGGGTGTGCAGCAGGCCGTGCAGAACGTCAAGAGCGTGCTGACCCCGACGCTCATCGGCGCCGACCCGACCAAGCAGCGCGACATCGACAACCTCATGCGCGAGATCGACGGCACAGAGAACAAGGGCAAGCTTGGAGCCAACGCCATCCTGGGCGTGTCGCTTGCTGTGGCTAAGGCCGGTGCCGCTGCCAAGGGCGTCCCGCTGTACCAGCACTTCGCTGACCTCATTGGCAACAAGAACCTGGTGCTACCCGTGCCCAGCTTCAACGTCATCAATGGCGGCTCGCACGCGGGCAACAAGTTGGCTTTCCAGGAGTTCATGCTTCTGCCTACGGGTGCTGAGAGCTTCTCGGAAGCCATGGTCATGGGCTGCGAAGTGTATCACCAGCTCAAGAGCGTCATCAAGAAGAAATACGGCCAGGACGCCACCAACGTCGGCGACGAAGGTGGATTCGCCCCCAACATCCAGAGCAACCGCGAAGGTGTTGAGCTGCTGATGACTGCCATCAACCGCGCCGGTTACGACGGCAAGATCGGCATCGGCATGGACGTTGCCTCGTCCGAGTTCCTGACCAAGGACGGCAAGTACGACCTGGACTTTAAGACTGAGGGATCCCAGGATCTTTTGACCGGTGAAGAGCTGGGCCAGCTGTACAAGGATCTGGCCAAGGAGTTCCCGATCATGAGCATCGAAGACCCGTTCGACCAGGACGACTGGACGCACTACTCGTCCTTCACCGCTGGCATTGGGGAGAAGGTGCAGATTGTGGGCGATGACCTGTTGTGCACCAACCCCAAGCGCATCGCCACAGCTCTGGACAAGAAGGCCTGCAACGCCCTCTTGCTCAAGGTGAACCAGATCGGAAGCGTGACCGAGAGCGTGGACGCTGTTGCACTTGCCCAGAAGAACGGATGGGGCGTCATGACGTCGCACCGCAGTGGTGAGACCGAGGACACGTACATCGCCGACCTGGCTGTGGGTCTGGCCACTGGCCAGATCAAGACGGGCGCCCCGTGCCGCTCGGAGCGTCTGGCCAAGTACAACCAGCTGCTGCGTATCGAAGAGGCTCTCGGCAGCGACGCCAAATACGCCGGCAAGCACTTCCGGAACCCTTCCAAGATGTAAGCAGACCTAATAACTGTATTGAAACGGGCTAGAATAATCAACTAGGGGCGTGCCTATATCAATACTGCTGAACTGGACGTTGTTGCATGTCCCAGCTGATACACAGTTTCTCATCAACTTCATCTTCGCCGTTACTGAGTTTGTTTTGTACTTGAAGTATGTTCTTATAACCTATAGAAGAGCAGTTGAGTGCCTGATTTTGGGCATGTTCAAAAGGTGCATCTAGCGAAAAAGGCACCAATTGTTATTTGAATTGGGTCTTTGGAAATCAAAAAGGGAAAACCAACGCATCTAATGCTTATTTTTGCGTTTTTACCAACGAACATGTGTGCAATGGTTAGTCAAAAGTGAGGATGGAATTTGAGGCTATCAGTTTTGTGCACGGTTCTGGCTATCGACTAAAGCTCACCATCTCCTTGAATATAAGACGCCCTACAAAGTCCGCGTGAGCGTTTGCCTTTAGTGCGAGATGCGGTTGGCAGCTGTAATATGCTGCTGCGTATTGTGGGTTCTACTCAAAATTTTCAGGGCCGATTGACATGCCTCCAGGCGCAAAAAATCGCTCCACTACCAAACAACATAAAAAATGACAGATGAGAGTGGTTTTCTCGCTTTACATCATTGTTCAAGATGGAGTCGACGTCGCCAACGCAGACACCTCAAGGGCGAGTGCGAACGTTCCCGTACCCGAAACGACGCCGTAGTCCAGCGTCAACTGAGGTATACCAACCAGCATCATCTCACGTTTACCGGTTGGTCATGCAGCCCATTGTGAAGGAGACGGTAGGCGAGCGAGACAGCTCTGGTGACTCTCTTGACCCCTTTGTAGCAGGTGGAACTTCGTTCCAGGACATTCTGGAGAAAATATGGGCGGAATTCAGCCCTCATATTAAAGGGAGGGCAGTGAAGTCCGGTGGGATTTGGACTGTCGAGCAAGCTGCGATTGACTCTTGGTCCAAGTTCATGGGGTTCAAGGTGAAAAAACACATCGTCGACAGCTCAAAATCCAACCAGGACTGGAACACTTGGCTTCAATCAATGCATGACAAGACTGCCACGCTTCTCATCTATGAATATGGCGTCAGTCTCGGGAGAAAACAAGATCGCCAAGCTTTTCAAAAGGAGTGCATTCTCCCAGCCGAGACTGACAGGGCCGGCGCAGCTGCTGAAGTCACACTTCGCGAGGTTGTGGGGCGCCTACAAGACTTTTGGAGCGTTACATACACAGGTGAAGCTGTGGTGTGGCGTATGTGGGCTACTGAGGTGGTTCGCAGTCAGGATCGTTCCACATGGGACGATAAAATACGTGCTCCACCACCTCCACCTATTTTGCGACTCTTGCGGACTACTGATTCTCGTGTCCAAGAACACGTCAATGATCTTCACCGCTCGACACAAATTGCTCTCGACGTCGTGAACGCATCTATCGCTGGGTCAACAGAGTTACGTCGCGACTGGGAGATGTATGGTCGCCGGTTGGAGAGTTTTGAGACGATGTTGCAGGCTCGTAAGGTCCGAATTGAGTCGCTCCTCCATCACATGCCTCTACCAGACCCTGGAGAGTTGGTCGACCCGCTGCAGAACATGGAAAATCTTGAGGACTTTGAGCATCAATAATTCAGATAGTTTAAGCGAGCGTGCTATCATTCATTTGTTTTTTTTCTTTTTAACTAAGCGTACGAAAGCCTAATGCATCCTCGTCCAATTCTTCTTCTTCCTCGGAAACGTTCTCCCAAAAATCCGGTACTGCGCGTGACTCTGTTGACAGCGGCCCCACAGGATTGAAAGTTCCATCGACCATCCAGCCGCAATGTTCAAACACCCGAGCCATATTAAAGTTCACAAAGCGTCGAAATGTGTCAACAATAAATGGCATTAAGTCACGATTCGTGGACTCCACGTAGTAGCGCTAAAAGGCTTTCTTGACGTAACCAAAGAGAAATTCGATGGGATTAAAGAACGGGCAATAGGCAGGTAGAAAAATCGGTACAATTCCGATACTTCTTAGATAATGCACAATTTCAGGGTGTCGATGGATGGATGCACCATCTAAAATCCAAACAGAATTAGTTCTGGGGTAAGGTCGAACACTGGCACGCTTAGAGTACGCAAAATCTTGACAACATCGAACAAACTCGAATCGGTCAAATGTTCCAACAGTGTCATAGTAGTCAATAATGCCATTGACACCAATAAACGCAAGCATGGAGACTCTGGGTTTTCGCTACAACTCACCCCGAATAGCCACCTTTTGACCTCGAAGTGCGTAGCCTCTCTTTCGCATCATTCCCCTGTTATCGAATGAAACTTCATCCAGAAAAACAACATTGTAGTAGGTCCAGTTGATGTGACTCAACTCCTCCACAAACCGAAAGATGTCTCGCTCTTTAATTTGAATGGCTCGGCGTTCCAACACTTTCCAAGTTAGCCCAAAATCGTGAATAATTCTCCACACAGATGTTTTGGAAATGGTGAGCTGAAAGTTCAAGCGAAATGCAGTTTGTGCCTCGTCCAGATATGCTAAAGGTCTCTGCTCAAAAAAATACTCGAAGCCATGAGCGCTGTTCTACCGTAAATTTCCGGTCTGACTTTGACGTAGCGCGTTGGTAGGTCCCCGTAACTTCATACACACGAATCCAGTTTCCTATTGTCTGCTGTGTTTTGTTGTAGATGTGTACCAGTTCCTTCCTGGAATAGCCAAGATAGTAATAGCCGTACAAGCAGTGGAAAACTGTGTTGGGACTAGCATGTTGCCGAGTAGCTGCTGCCTCCATCGTGCTAAAGAGTAACAAATGTTGTTTAGCAAATCGTTGACGTATCTACCAGCATCAAAACACAAGATTGACAATAGTACCAAGTGTACGGGTGCGTCCTTGGAGATCCAGGGCTGCAAGGAAAGGTGCTGCAAAAGAAGCATCCAGCAGTGCAGCAGTGCAGCAGTCCGGTTCGTTCCGCGCTAAACGGCAATCCTAATTGACCAATCAGAGCGCGCTGTTGATTTGGGCGCGATGCCCACGAATCGATCGAGAATTCCAAATATACTCGGAATCCACAATATTTCTTCTTGAATTTCACGCTCCACGCCGCCCTTCCAATGTCTCCGCGTATCCACCGCTCGTAAACAGTCGTAAACAAGCCTATATATGAGACTTTTAGAGAACTTTAGTATCTGGAATAAACTTTACTGGAATATGGGACCAGCTTCTTGCTCGAGTAAATTCCAAAGATTCATTTTGAAGCTTAGGCAGGTTGGCCTGCCGCCGGCTTTTTCGCTTTGAGTCTCATGAAATCCGGCAGATTCTGCCATTCTTGAATCTACCAAATGAAATCTACACGAGCCAAGGATGTGTAGTACCGCGGCAAGAAGCGTTCTGCATTCTCTTACGCAGACTGACGTTCCCTGCGCGACTAGAGGATCTGAGGTGTGAATTTGGGCGCAGCCCAGGAACGCTCTCTTCGACTACCAACATCTGATCTATGACTGAGTAAAACAGAAGATGAATTTTGATCAGCGTATGGTTGAACGATACAAAGAGCGTTCAGCAAATGCAATTTTTAGCAAGGTCAAACGTCTTTCAAAGTGCTTAGGATTCATCGATGGAACGATTCGGCAAACGTGCCGCCCTGTTCGATTTCAAGAGCAGCTTTATAGTGGACACAAACGAAAGCACGGGATAAAGTTCCAGAATATCACCATGACTAATGGTCTGATCGTTTCCATGTTTGGACCTATCGAAGGGCGCCGTCACGATGGATTTATACTGCGAGAAAGTGAAATCGTGGATGACATGGCGAATCATCCCGGGTATCACCTTTATGGTGACCTGGGGTACCCGTTGAAAAGCTGGTTGATCACAACTTTTTCGGATCCACAGAGGACAGTGATTCATCGAGACTTCAATCGTGACTTGAGTCGTGCTCAAATAGCTGTAGAGTGGAGCTTCGGTTGGATCGCTAGGTACTGGAAATTTTTCAGCCTCATCACAAACATGAAAGTGCTCAAGAGCCCGATAGCTACGCTATTTATCATCGCCACCTTCCTCATCAACTGCTTGTCATGCGTTCGGCGCAAAAATCAGTACTTTCGTTGCCGCCTTCCAACCCTCGCCGTGTACCTAGCCGATCTCAATTCGGGCGAAGCCATAGACGAAGACGACTACCCATCTGACGATGACATTTTAGATTTTTTCGACGATGAGTCTGACATGAGCAGCGGAGATGAATCTAGCGACCGTGACGACAAAGCAGACGATTGGAGCGATTTGAGCGATGATAACATGGAAGAAGACAATGGGTTTATCGATGACATTGAGTAAGTGACGTAATGTACGTCGTACTACAGTTATCATCCAGGTACTCCTCCAGGAGGACCTTAGCTTCAGGCGTCATCTTGATGTGCTTCGCGCCTCCCCGAGGGAGATTGTCCACCAGTCGCGCAAATCTTGTACGAGGTTGATTGCAGTTTTTTCAACATTGAATACTGATTAGCGGCTTCTACCGTAATTTTCCTATTTGCCAATTTTTAAGTTACGAGTTTGACTGCCGTTTTCTACGAGGTTGAGTGCACAAAGGTGTAGATGTTTTGACCCTACTAAAACAACAAATAAAAAAAGTTTCTGCGTGATAACTTCTTGGCAACGAAGGTAGAAACGATATTTGAATCGTTTGAGCGCATCATGACCCGATCAGTTGTCTTGCTGTGGGAAAATAGTAGCGATGGACATCAGAGCCTTTGCCATCAGCTCAGTCATTTGGCGCTGAGCTTCGGCTTGTTCAGCAGCACGTTTTGCTGATTGTTCGGCGAGGCGTCGGTCACAATCCTCCCGTTCGGCTCACTCAGAACGAAGACGCTCCAGATCTTGCTCTCTGCGCTCGTCAGCACGTTTCTCCAGTCTTTCCAAAAAATCAAAAGCTGACGGAGCTTTGGCGGGCTTGGACTTCTTCGTTGTGTGCTTCTCGGTTAATAGGGCAGTCTCACGGATGGCTAGTCCTTTGGCACGGTTCTCTTCAATCTTTTTGGTCTTGGATTCGATACGCTTGCTTTGTACCAAGGTTTCATCGTCCTTCTTCTGAAAGTAAACCTCCATCAAACGCTCCAGCTCGTTTTCGTCGATAGACTTATGTGGTTCTTGGCCTGCGATATACACAGGTGTAGCTTACACACAGCCAGCAAGCGGAAATTCCGTAGCATAAGTCATACCTGACATGGCTCTCTCCTTTGCGCGCTTCGATCGGTACTTCTTCTCCAACTTATCAACGTGCTTGCGTACACCGTCAGCAGACAGCTTCTTGTTCAGCGCTGAGCCAAGGCGCTCCGTGATTTCGACACACCGCTCGGTCTTCGAGGCGTTATGAAGCTCGAAGATCCCGTCATCGCCAACCACCTCGTTCATGAGCATGCAGTCTGCTTTCACAGAGTATGTGATGCCTTTTTTGCGGGCTTTCTCGTTCTTGTTTACTTGACGCTGTCGCTTGAGCGGAGGTTCTGCCTCGTCATCGCCTCCACCACTGCGTACGGGTGGCGCTGGCACGACTTGCAGAACTTGTGGCTCGTCACCGTCCAACTCGACGTCTGACTGCATAATCATAGTAGTTAGTGACAATTTGTCCAGTGGCACCGTCGGAAGGAACACGTATTGTAGTCTTTGAAGGTGTCCAGGTGAGGAGCTGATTAGCGCGTTTGTCCATTGCTCTGGAACCTCTGTCGGCTTTTTCCTGGAGTTGCGCGGGGTCGTGGCCAGCACCGAGGTTTTGCGGGTTGGTTGATTCCCTTTGCCGAAGGTTGCCGCACGCAATTGGTGCGGTATCACCTAGACTGACGTCGAGTTTATCGGGTTATAGCTTTTTACAGGAATCCGCTGAGCTCGACCCTCCTGTATTTATATAAATATGCAAGTTACGTTTTAAGTACGATTTTATTGCTACATTTTATTCCAAGGTGACGATATATTCCAGAAACTAAAGTTCTCTATTTTATAGAAATATTATTTCTACAAAAGACTGAGCCCCTAGTATCATACTACAGTATTCATGCTTATAACAGATTTATTTAACACAGTCTCTATATTATTGTTGGCTATCACTGTACCTTCGACATCCACCCAGAATCACAAGCACTTCATATAACATGTCTACAAACGCTACACAATATATTTAGTTTAGCGTCGTGCTCGATATCATGGGCCGCTTCTGAACTGCTATTAAACTTAGCTCGTATCAATGCAACGGATAGTAATGGCCTGTCCAGCTTACACTACTTACCCGCTTGTAGTGCCTATTGGAGCTTGTAAGTATAATAACTAAAGATTGTTCACTTCTCATACCAATCACAATAAAAGCAAAAACGGTAATATTTTTATTGCATGTAGCGATATTTTGTGCTGATTTAGAATTAGTCATTAGACGCTCGACTCTGTGTCAGTTATAATTAAAGCACTTTGGTGTCGTAAGACGCCTTGCTGTTGTTTAACGATAATTCCAGGATGGTTAAACGTCATTTAGGCTCCAAGTTGATTAACGTTTCTTTATGGGGTCTACTCAACCAACTATAATTAACCCCTCTCGTGTTTTGTTGATGCCGCCCATTTAGGAGTATTGGTTTTTGCTGTCTGACCAACTCTTGGAAAACAGTGGTTTATGTGGTGTAGTAGAACACACAAATACCGTCAGATGTGGATTCCTTACACAAACCACAACGAATCGCCGAGTTAGGTCGGCGGTTGTATGGCCTGCGCAGAGGGTGGTCCCCTCGCGGTCCGGCCCTTCCGGGACAGACGAGTGGCTCGCTTTCACTCGGTTCCGACTAACCAATTCAGATCACTTCCGAGGCTCCGCCGAGTTTGGTTCGGCTGAGCTCGTTCACAACCCTGTGCCCTCCACCAAAGGATGGACGACGGCGCGCGAGCGCTTTTACAGGTCACCGAGCGCAGAGGCTGCTCAGCTAGAAGTGTTACGGCTCCCGGGCTATCCGACGTACCGGCCCGCTGAGTATGCGGGACTTTCTTTCGCGCGTAGCGAGACTTTGTCCTATCCGGACCGACCTAATCTCTTGGCGCTACCAATCAATACCCTACAAGCTATGCCTCTCGAGTATTGACGGCAGGCATAATCCTGCCCTATGCAGGGACTTACCGGAAAAGTGTACACGTGTCTTGGACTAGGAACATTCTGCTCTATTATCTTCTGGGAGCCCCTTCGGCTCCCCCTATTTAATCATATGCTTTTCATACAAATATCTAGTGAAATTTAGTCGTTTCGGATCTCTACCGACCCTTCAGCTGAGTTCCGGCTACCGTTGAGCTCAGCGGCTATCCGGATAGCATATCCGGACAGATCGCCGAGTACTTACCGTGATCCTTTGCTCCTAAGCTCTGGGCTATCAAACCGAGCCGATTCTTGACCTAAAGTAGGTTGGCGTATGGTCGAATCTGGAAATCCCTACACCCCAACTGCCCCGGTTATGATACGAGCCGAGCTGGTGAGTGTCTTAATCCTTCATTTGGTTCTGCCACCGTTGGTCCGTACTCGGCTGATGACGTCTCGCGGCTCTCCACCACCTTCTTCGGTACGTTCGTTGCTTCCGCTGTCACTCACTTGGCAGCTCCTTACTCTTCGCATGCTATTCCAGCACAGCTCGCGGCACCACCATTCTTTTTCAACTCCTCGTCGAGGTGAGGGCGCGCCAGCTTAGTCGATTCCTCGACCCGTCAGCACTCGTGGGGTCAGCGACCGGCCTGAAGCTGGGTTGGTCGACCTGACAACTTCCCATAAGTCGGACGCGAGTCGGCGGGGTCTTCTCGCGTGCGTCCTCCTGGTCCACCGAGCTTGCCGGGCGACACCACTTCGGGCGCCACCAGTCAGCCAAGCTCGGCTGCTCCAGTGAGTCTTGACTCCCTCATGGCCAGAGTTAACGAGCAAGGGTATGAGCGCCGAGAAGAATTGACCTTCTTGGCGAGGTTCATGGCCTACGGATTTACTCGTTCCGTGAAGCCCTCCGATCCCGTGCAGCGGCGAGCGATCTTGCATGCCGCTTCCGCGGGGGAACTGTTGGATATCTTGAAAGGCCAATTTGCCGCTCTTGATTATCCACAGATCATTGGCGACCACCGAGCTGACAATCAAGCTGTTCAGGAGGAGAACCGCGCACTGACCCGGCGACTGGACTCTCTCGCTCTCAGCAACGTCGACTTGTCCACTCAGCTCTCATCGGCACGACAGCAGGTGTCCCGATTGGAGGCTGCTGCCACGCAGTCGGCTAATCTCCTTGCGTCACTGCGAAAGGCTGTAGCTCTGAGTGAGGCAAAACTTGCTCGGGCCATCGCAGCTGAGCAGAGCAAGGTTGATGCTGCGTTGGGTCAGGCCCAGCTCCATCATCAGCAAGTCTTGGATCGAGACGCCGAGATCGACGTCCTTCTTCGATCCATTTCTGAGAGGGATGCTGCGTTCGTCACCCTTCAGGGCATTGCTTCCAAGCACTTCGAACAGCTGCAGGAGTCGGTGCGGTTGTACAGCTCCACCGGCACTCAACCTTTGCGGCACGCTCAGTCGGTGATCGCTGAGCAGCGGGCAGTGATCTTGCAACAGAAGCGGCTCATCCGTCGGAATGGCATTATTCCGATGCACGACCCTCACATGGCTTCTGCTGCTGGCGGTGGATTGCAGGTTCCTGGATCCGTACCGCAGATCAACAAGAACGGAAAGTTCCAAGTGGTGTTCGATGGCACCGAGATGCACATCGCACGCAAGGCCTCAAATCAAGTGGTGGCATTGGCGGATCTCGTAGATGGACTCTACTGGCTTCGCACGCCTCTTCGATCAGCAAATGCGGCGACAGCTGGAAGGACGGTCGACCTGCATGCGCGTATGGGTCACGCCCCAGTCGAGGTGCTTCGCAAGATGGTCGACAACAAGATGATCAAGGACGCGAAAGCACCTTTCAAGCCTAGCGGACCAAGTCTGTGTCGCGGCTGCCAGCAAGGCAAGATGGTCTAAAAACCATTCCCTAGCAACCGTGACAAGCGTCGTTACGACACCTTCGAGTTGCTCTTGATCCGTCCGACCTTCTCCTTAACGCTCGGCTGTGTCGTGTCTTGGAGTCTCGCTTCCCTGAGGTTCTTCACATTCCAGCTGGTGAAACTCGGCGGTTGGAGTTGATTATCTATCCTCGCCGAGATGCTCCAGTGGCGAGTTCCGCCATTGGTCCTAGTGTGGCCCTCCCAGCTAGCCAAGCGTCTTCTGTGACTTCATTGGCAGACTCGGCTGCGACTCCAGTCAGCTCAGCGGCGGCTACGAGCCAACCCGAGCCGACCCTCGCACAGCTTCACCGGACACCTTTAGCGAGCTTGCCTTCGACTCAGCGGCTTCGACGTTATGCCAACTCTAAGTCTCCCACTGCTGCAGGTCCTCGTCATCGTTCGCCGCATCCGCCTCAGCTGTACGGTTGTCCACTTCTCGGGGAGGATGGACACGAGGCTATCAGTGCCCTTTTGCACTCAAGTTCTCCTCAAGCTACTGTATCCGATGGAGGAAGGCCCCGCTCTGGAAAGTCCCGTCGTCGGACTCGGCGGAAGAAGGTTCGTCACCTTCAGCTGAGTTCTGCTACCCAGCCCGCTGTCTCTGCTCGCTCTGAAGACGACGATGACGCTTCGAGCGAAGCTGAATTCGAGTATGAGTTGCCTGAGCCGCCCGTCGACACCGTTCCTGCGGTTGCTTCGACGACTTCGGCGGGTTCTTCGTCTTCCGGTCCTCCGGTGACTTCGTCAGTCGCGGCTACTCGCCCACCGCCGGTATCTTCATCCGATGTCGTGGCTTCGCTGCCTGTCCCGGCTACGAGTGTTTTGGCCCCAGGCTCGACTTCGTCCATCTCCGCTGAGTTGCCCCAGTCGAGTGCACCGCTCAGCGTCGTGACAACGGTGGTTGGGCGCTCCCAGTCGCCTTCTGGCCGATCCTCTCACGTTTCTCCTTCTCGGGGTCTGAGCGTATCCACTACGCTGACTGACCTAGCGACTCCGGCCGTGAGTGTCCTCAGGCCGTCTCTCCCTGCGAGCTCGGCAGTGTTGACGTCTCCGTCTGGGCGCCCCATCCGGAGATCTGCTGCGACTGCCCGCACTGTGACTGCTCAGCTGCTTGAGGACCTTGACGCGTCTGACGACGAGGTGTTAGGGCCTGGCGACGGTTCTGCACTGTCTACCGGCTCGACGAATCCTGCCGCTGGGTCGCTCTTGGATCCCATTTCCTTATCCGAGAACTCGGCTGGCAGTCCCTCAGGTTCTGACTCAGCGGCCGAAGATGCTCGTCGTTCTGCCAAAGCGAGAAGCCTTCATGCGGCAATCTTCGGCTCTGACGACGAGATGAGTGATGAGTCCTTGCCGCCGAGAGATCGCCACTCCTCGCGGCATTCATCGAAGGATTCTGGTGACGGGACGAGTTCTGCCTCTGCGTCGGCTTCGGGGAAGCAGCAGCGTCGCAAGCGTCGTGCCTCGTCGAGTCCTACCGGTCACCGGTCAAAGCGATCCAAGAAGCACAAGAAACACAAGAAGCATCACAAGGCGCACCGACACCACAAGCATCGGCAGCTTCCGTCGACTCCTGATCCGGCTCCGGCTCAATCCATTCCGGCTGCTCCTTCGCCAAGTAGGCTCCCGGTCGTGTCGATTCTCTCGCAGCCGAGCTCGACTGCCTCACGTCCGGCTTTGGTTACACTACCCAGCGCTCTTACACTCCCGCTGGCGACATTACGGACTCGAGCCTCGCAAGCGGTGTCCAAGGATTGTCGCTTGACTCTTCACATGGCTCAACTCCGCGAGGTACCATTTATGCATTTCGGCTCAGCTCGTTGTTGGAATGCGTTATTGGATACACTGAGCGGAGGGGTGCAGATGGAGCTCGTAGGAGGCAAGAGTCGTGTGCCACCTACGCCGTGTTCTCTTGACGGCATTCGAGCTTTCATGGCCGTTTTCGATCCGAGCCATCCTTGTCAGCGTCTTCGGCGGATGCTCTCTGGGCTTCCTTTCTTCTTTTCTCCGTCGATACTGGAGGAAGCTCGGCGGTGTTTGGCTTCTCAGACCCGACCTCAAACTTTGATGCAAATTCTTGGCG